CTCAATTAAAAAGTAGGAGTCAAATTCTAAGAAAGTACTGAAATCGAATTATTTATAAAATGTCAATTGGAGCTGCAGCTCTATAGGATGGAGCTGGAAGACTATATGAGAACATTTTAGCTTGAGGCAATGACCACAAGAAACAATAAAGTGTAAGCCATGGAAATACGAAAAGTCTCTAAATTACTTTCAACTGTTAAGAGATAATTCATGTTCGCTCACTGGTATCACAGATTTGTTTTTCAGTCCCATAAAGTAACCTGAACATTTTATTGGTAGATCAAGTAGAGTTAAACTGATCTTATTTAATACTCGCTATTAATATATCGGAGACCAAGTTATGATGTCAGTAGCATTACAGGGGAAAAGAATAAAAAAAATAGCACATTACTGACAGAAGAGCTTCGATCATCATAACCATTATTTTCTATCTCTCATTTGACTGGTCCTCTGCCATCAATCCTCTTTGTCATCTAACTCCCCATCCCTTCGCGGGAGTCGTTCACCTCTAATCCCTACATAATCTTCCTAATTCTCGCCCTCTCACTCTTCTAGATCTTTTTCCTCTTCCTTCTCCCTGCTTCTATTTCTCTTCCTAATGTTCGTTCTGCTCCAAATACACTTGTGAAATAAGCAGTGAACCCTGTTAGTATTTCCATTGTGGCAGTATACATCTTCAGCAATATTTCGCTCAAGCAATTAGCAGAGTATACCGTTACTTTTAAGTATATCAAGGAGTTCGGGGACTGGTTGATCCCAGCAGTCACTAAGTACATTAATGTGACCTGGACGATTATTTTATGAGCTCCTATCCAGGCATGTTAAGTTCTAAAACCAACGGGACCATAGAACTCTTAGGAATGGGACTTATTTTAGATCCAAGGAGGGGAGGGGGAAGTTCAGTCCCTTGGATCAAGAGTTCCTCACAGGCATCAAGAGGAGAGACGAGTGTTGTGAACAAAGATAATTATATTTAGTGCAAAGAATCACAGACTTCAATTTTGATAAAGTTTTAGATTAGGAAATAAAAAAAATATTGCAAGCGTAAGGAATATAAGAAACATTCACTGAACGGAAGTATCTCTAAAGTGCAGTGAACTGCAGTAATGGTGTGAAAGATGGTGCACGATGAAACTCACCTTGCCAGCTGAACTGAAGGGTATTGAGACCTCAAGCAGCACTCAACCTGCCATGTAATGGGGTGTTGAGACAAGGCAAACTCACCAGGTCGTGGGGCTGATGAGACAAGCTGCACCTCGCCAGGCTCTGTTGGGGTGCTGATGAGACCAAGGCTGCACCTCGCCAGGCTCTGTTGGGGTGTTGAGACCAAGGCTGCACCTCGCCAGGCTCTGTTGGGGTGCTGATGAGACCAAGGCTGCACCTCGCCAGGCTCTGTTGGTGTTGGGGACCAGGCTGCATCTGTCCAGCTGTTAGGTGTTGGACCAAGGCTGCACCTCGCCAGGCTCTGTTGGGGTGTGTGAGAGACCAAGGCTGCACCTCGCCAGGCTCTGTTGGGGTGCTTGAGAGACCAAGGCATGCACCTCGCCAGGCTCTGTTGGACCAAGGTGCCTCAGCTGATGGTTGGACCAAGGCTGCACCTCGCCAGGCTCTGTTAGTGTGTTGGGACCAAGGCTGCACCTCGCCAGGCTCTGTTGGGGTGTGTTGATGAGACCAAGGCTGCACCTCGCCAGGCTCTGTTGGGGGTGTTGACGAGACCAAGGCAGCACCTCGCCAGGCTCTGTGGTGCTGAGAGACCAAGGCAGCACCTCGCCAGGCTCTGTTGGGGGTGTTGACGAGACGAAGGCAGCACCTCACCAGGCTCTGTTGGGGGTGTTGACGAGACCATGGCAGCACCTCACCAGGCTCTGTTGGGGGTGTTGACGAGACCAAGGCAGCACCTCACCAGGCTCTGTTGGGGTGCTGATGAGACCAAGGCTGCACCTCGCCAGGCTCTGTTGGGGTGTTGATGGGACCAAGGCTGCATCTCGCCAGGCTCTGTTAGTGTGTTGGGACCAAGGCTGCACCTCGCCAGGCTCTGTTGGGGTGTGTTGATGAGACCAAGGCTGCACCTCGCCAGGCTCTGTTGGGGGTGTTGACGAGACCAAGGCAGCACCTCGCCAGGCTCTGTTGGAGACCAAGGCTGCACCTCGCCAGGCTCTGTTAGTGTGTTGGGACCAAGGCTGCACCTCGCCAGGCTCTGTTGGGGTGTGTTGATGAGACCAAGGCTGCACCTCGCGAGGCTCTGTTGGGGGTGTTGACGAGACCATGGCAGCACCTCGCCAGGCTCTGTTGGGGTGCTGATGAGACCATGGCAGCACCTCGCCAGGCTCTGTTGGGGTGCTGATGAGACCAAGGCAGCACCTCGCCAGGCTCTGTTGGGGGTGTTGACGAGACGAAGGCAGCACCTCACCAGGCTCTGTTGGGGGTGTTGACGAGACCATGGCAGCACCTCACCAGGCTCTGTTGGGGGTGTTGACGAGACCAAGGCAGCACCTCGCCAGGCTCTGTTGGGGGTGTTGACGAGACCAAGGCAGCACCTCGCCAGGCTCTGTTGGGGGTGTTGACGAGACCATGGCAGCACCTCGCCAGGCTCTGTTGGGGTGTTGACGAGACCAAGGCAGCACCTCGCCAGGCTCTGTTGGGGTGTTGACGAGACCAAGGCAGCACCTCGCCAGGCTCTGTTGGGGGTGTTGACGAGACCATGGCAGCACCTCACCAGGCTCTGTTGGGGGTGTTGACGAGACCAAGGCAGCACCTCACCAGGCTCTGTTGGAGGTGTTGACGAGACCAAGGCAGCACCTCGCCAGGCTCTGTTGGGGGTGTTGACGAGACCATGGCAGCACCTCGCCAGGCTCTGTTGGGGGTGTTGACGAGACTCAACATACCTGAAACACTGCACATTCTCAGTTCTTTAAATGCAACACAGACTTTTATAAATGTGCAATACGGGATATATACATAAGCTTTTTGTATATTCTAACGTGAGCTTTCTTTGTTCTCTCTTTTAGATATTAAAACTTTCTTGACTGGTGGGCTACAAGTGAAATACAATGTTAATTATCCTCTGCGGGTAATACTATTTAAATATAATTTGTGCAAATATTTCATTAGCTGGTAATAAAATATTCATTGTCAAAATCCCCTTCATTCCTACATTAGCTGTTACGATTTTTTTCAAATCATCTGTAAAGACGTTCAGAAAACATTCCGATCAGATATATTTTTTTTTATGAATCTCTTTCAACATTAAATTCTCGTTTTGACATTTGCAATTAATAGCTTCATAATGATCATTTTTCTATGCTAGGACCTGCCTAGCAGCCAGCAGTAACAGCCTGGTTGATCAGGCTCTGATCCACCAGGAGGCCTAGTCACAGTCCGGGCCGCGGGGGCGTTGACCCCCGGAACTCTCTCCAGGTAAAAACTCCAGGTAGTAAGGCAGTTGACCTGCTGCAGTGCTCTCCCATTAACATGTTATTCTGTTTTGACCAAGCAGCGCTTATTTTCTTCCACTAGAGAATACGTGGAGGGTGTTCCGGGGGTCAACTCCCCTGCGGCCCGGTCCATGACCAGGGTCATGGACCAATGGCAGTAGAGTTGGAGTCCTCTAGACACTCATCTAGAGAATCACCCTCTTAATTAACAGTCCTGTCCAAAGAGGTAATTTTCACATAACTAAATATGAGATGACTGGTATAAAGTGTGGATTTGATTGACGAGGAGGTTAAGTATAATCAATCAGGTAGAGCACTTTACGACAGACCACTTTCTTTTGTTATGAGCCGTATACAGTACTAAACAGCTGTGGTACGCTACTGGATACGGACACGTCACACACCCTGGTCCACTAAACCTTCACTTACCTACCTACCTACTACTACTACTACTACTACTACTACTACTACTACTACTCCACAGGCTTTCAGTCTTCTGTGTTTTCCTCTCCACTTTATCTAAGATTGTAAAAATCGGGCAAGACGTATCCTTGGCAGAAACATCAACAATTCTACTCTAGATTGGCTTACCAGATACATGATGCTAGCAGTCAGCTGCGTGTATTCAACGTATTTGCTATTATTACTAACAATTAACTCAGGATAGCTACAAACTCTTCAGCCTTTATCATAGATTAAGTCAGTAACAAGTTACTACGGCAGGAGTATATATCATACCTTGTGAGGCTGTGACAAGAAGATCGAAGATGAAACGGCAAGGATCCTCCAGCTGAAAATTCATGAAAAAAACGTTTGCAGCTTGACTATCGAAAAACGCATTGTAAACAACAAACAACGAGGACCATCTCATGAGATAGAATGATGCTTTACTAGTCACCAACGAATTATCCTAAGCAAACATAAATGCTTAGAAGCCTCCCTTACAGCAATCTCAGATTATCTCGCAGAAATATCCCAGCTTCAAAGTTTCTAAACACTGAGCCAATAAGTGTTACAAAGCTTGACACTATCAGCTGACACCTTCCCTCGAGCATTAACTACTCTCGACCGTACCTTGTTTCACATGAAGTCATTCTACTACATATAGCTGTCCATTAGCTGTGTCTGCATTAAGAATAAATGGCCTATATATCGCAATTGTATGGATTTTCTTCCACACCTCTGGTATAAATAGTTTTCTCGCTGGGTAGTATACCATGTTGATGAGTGACTACACTGTGTCTGTTTACTGTGTCGATACCACTGTGTTGGTACCACTGTGTCGGAACCACTGTGTTGGCTTCAGTGAATCGGAGTAATTTAGGGTTCCAAAGGTTGTCTCAACCGTTCATTTGTGTTTGAGGGAGCAGTGTAGCGTGTTACTGTGGTCGTCTGTGAGTGTCAGAAAATTTTGAGATAATAGTGATAAGTGTTCCTTTAACAGTGGATATGAAAACAGTATAAAATATCGACATTTAGGTAACTATACTGAACCGTTAACGTTACACACACATCACTTATTTATCCTTGAACAGTAACAGTACTTTGAAGGGGATGGGGAAAAAAGAAGGAAGGAGGGGGGGTGGGGTGCCGAGATGCTTGTCAGTGATTCATCATCCAACAACTGGAGTCACCCTTCCCATTTTTGGATCAGAAATGATTGCCAACCGTTCCTTAACGGGTTTAGCGCTTCCCCACAAGTGTAATAATGTGATGGATACCTAGGTACTTAGCTTATTTCCGTGAAAGTGATAAGATTGCGCAATGAGTGGAATATCCCGAATAAGGATGTAAGTTTACTGTTAAAAGCGTCATGGGTGTCTCCGTCAGCGTCCCTGGCAGGTCCTGACTCCACGGCTACACCTTCCTTCTGGATAAGGTGAGCCTCGCCTCTTACTACTCTACCGTCTAGATCAGGGGTACGATTACAGACCCCCCCAATGGATTACTCAATATACCCCCATAATCTCTTCAGCAGGTTGCTGAAGTCATCAATTATCATCATCAAACCATACCATCGCGGGTTCTAACCCCGCCCGTGGTATGGTTTGTTTGCAATCATGTTATTACGATTTCGTGAGTCATTATCAACATCACCAGTCCAATTGGGTACCAATATAACTTCAAAAGATATCAATAGCTTGGTTTTACTTAACATATGGATAGCTAGGAACAGAAAGGTGATATTTTTTAATGATCTAGCAACTTTTATTATTAAAATTGTTTAAAAATGTCCCATACCCCTATTATTTGGTTCCCATACCCCCAAGGGGTATGGATACCCCTGGTTAAGAGCCACTGGTCTAGAACAACTTTTTGATGTGTTGGTTATAATGGATTAAAATCCCATTTATGAGATTTTTGAATCATTCAGCGAGTGTTTCGTGATAATGAAGCGTTATGATAAGCTGGAAATGAAAAGTAAGATGTGGTATGTATATAAAAAATAACTACATTTGCAGGTACGTGTGGCTTATGACTCCTCGAGGTATACTTACCCGCTGCTAGCCAGGTAAGTGTATGCATATCACTTGTTTGTAACGTGTCGTTTGGCCATGTGTGTTGCTAGTATCTACCTTCATTTATAGCAGCAAGGAATAAGGAAGGTCCTCTAGATATTCCACATCACGACGACAGGATTTGTCTTAGTTCACTTTGGTGCAGAATTAAACCCGTTTTCACTAGCCTATGTGAAGCGAGACGACTTCACTAGCCTATGTGAAGCAACCCGTTTTCACTAGCCTATGTGAAGCAACCCGTTTTCACTAGCCTATGTGAAGCAACCCGTTTTCACTAGCCTATGTGAAGCAACCCGTTTTCACTAGCCTATGTGAAGCAACCCGTTTCACTAGCCTATGTGAAGCAACCCGTTTTCACTAGCCTATGTGAGCAAACCCGTTTTCACTAGCCTATGTGAAGCAAACCCGTTTTCACTTAGCCTATGTGAAGCAAACACCGTTTTCACTAGCCTATGTGAAGCAACCGTTTTCACTAGCCTATGTGAAGCAACCCGTTTTCACTAGCCTATGTGAAGCAACCCGTTTTCACTAGCCTATGTGAAGCAACCCGTTTTCACTGCCTATGTGAAGCAAACCCGTTTTCACTAGCCTATGTGAAGCAACCCGTTTTCACTAGCCTATGTGAAGCAACCCGTTTTCACTAGCCTATGTGAAGCAACCCGTTTTCACTAGCCTATGTGAAGCAACCCGCTTTCACTAGCCTATGTGAAGCAACCCGCTTTCACTAGCCTATGTGAAGCAACCCGCTTTCACTAGCCTATGTGAAGCAACCCGCTTTCACTAGCCTATGTGAAGCAACCCGCTTTCACTAGCCTATGTGAAGCAACCCGCTTTCACTAGCCTATGTGAAGCAACCCGCTTCACTAGCCTATGTGAATGCAACCCGCTTTCACTAGCCTATGTGAAGCAACCCGCTTTCACTAGCCTATGTGAAGCAAACCCGCTTTCACTAGCCTATGTGAAGCAACCCGCTTCACTAGCCTATGTGAAGCAACCCGCTTTCACTAGCCTATGTGAAGCAACCCGCTTTCACTAGCCTATGTGAAGCAACCCGCTTTCACTAGCCTATGTGAAGCAACCCGCTTTCACTAGCCTATGTGAAGCAACCCGCTTTCACTAGCCTATTGAAGCAACCCGCTTTCACTAGCCTATGTGAAAGCAACCCGCTTTCACTAGCCTATGTGAAGCAACCCGCTTTCACTAGCCTATGTGAAGCAACCCCGCTTCTCACTAGCCTATGTGAAGCAACCCGCTTTCACTAGCCTATGTGAAGCAACCCCGCTTTCACTAGCCTATGTGAAGCAACCCCGCTTTCACTAGCCTATGTGAAGCAACCCGCTTTCACTAGCCTATGTGAAGCAACCCCCGCTTTCACTAGCCTATGTGAAGCAAACCCGCTTTCACTAGCCTATGTGAAGCAACCCGCTTTCACTAGCCTATGTGAAGCAACCCGCTTTCACTAGCCTATGTGAAGCAACCCGCTTTCACTAGCCTATGTGAAGCAACCCGTTTTCACTAGCCTATGTGAAGCAACCCGTTTTCACTAGCCTATGTGAAGCAACCCGTTTTCACTAGCCTATGTGAAGCAAGACGACTTCACTAGCCTATGTGAAGCAACCCGTTTTCACTAGCCTATGTGAAGCAAGACGACTTTTGTGTTCTGGAACGATTCTTTTCCTGGGTTAGTGTTATTGCTAATTATTCCTTTTTGTGATAGGTAGAATGCAGTTTTTTTGTGTTAGTGGGGCATGAATTTATATTTGTGTATGTTTTTGTGCCAGGAATTGTTCGTTTGTTTTACGTGGTTGAGTAGGAATAACCTTCGTTTTTAATTCGGTGACCATGACTGCTTGAATGGATTTCATTTTCCGTATCAAGAAAGGCATCGTTTTCCCTATTTCTCTGGTAAAAGCGCAAGAATTATTCCATCTTTTCTTGCTAGAAGACTATGAAATACCTACCAATATTCTGTAATATGTATATATGTTGGTAGAATTACCGACAATATGTAAAGTAAAAGGACACAAGTGCAACTAATGCGATATTTTATTGTGACAACGTTTCGCTCTCCAGGAACTTTGTCAAGCAGTAACGGCTTAACAAAGCTCCTGGAGAGCGAAACGTTGCCATAATAAAATGTCACATTAGTTGCACCTGTGTCCTTTTACTTTAATATCACTAAATGAGCACAAAATTCCTCTAATATTTTAGATTTTTCTTTTCGGATATTCTGACGTCCTGTGATAAAGAAAAGTATTTTTGTCATATCGAGGTATGAAGGGAATGATACCTTGTGTTGTCGTTCCAAGGTAGCACAGCTCTGTCTTACGGTTATAGATTGTAAATGATACTTACAGGATGTGGAAAGTCAGTTATGTACACCTCAGAACAGTTACACTGGTTTATAGCGAAATTGTTTCCAAAATAAAACGAGTCGTTAAAATTACAAATGCCTATGAAGAGTTGAGGTCGGTTGTCATCTTTGACCTAAGAAGGCAGAAGTGTAAACTGTTCCTGGGTAAAGACTTTTAATTAAAACCCATAAGACGTAATTCTTTTGAAAGTTAGGTACCATTTTAAAAGTTAGGTACCATTTTAAAAGTTAGGTACCATGTTAAAAGTTAGGTACCATTTTTAAAAGTTAGGTACCATTTTAAAAGATAGGTACCATTTTAAAATCGTAATGACACGATTGCAATCGTGTCGTTACGATTTCTTGAGTCATGTTGACGGCAGTGAAGGGTCTTGAGCTAGAGTTCGTCACGGCCACGCTAGCTGGAGATTCGTCTAAAAACTTGCATTTGTGGTCACAGTGGTGCCTGTGCTAACCTTCCTATGGTGTAGAAATATACCTAGTTGGATGAATCTTATTGTGGCTAGCTGGTCTAGTGGCTAACGCGACGGTCTGGAGTTTTGAGACTCTCTGACCGCGGGTTCAATCCCGACCGGGGGTATGGACCATTTTAAAAGTTAGGTACCATTTTAAAAGATGGGAACCATTTTAAAAATTACGTACCATTTTAAAAATTACGTACCATTTTTAAAAGTTAGGTACCATTTTAAAAGATAGGTACCATTTTAAAAGTTAGGTACCATTTTAAAAGTTAGGTACCATTTTTAAAAGTTAGGTACCATTTTAAAAGTTAGGTACCATTTTAAAAGTTAGGTACCATTTTAAAAGTTAGGTACCATTTTAAAAGTTAGGTACCATTTTAAAAGTTAGGTACCATTTTAAAAGTTAGGTACCATTTTAAAAGTTAGGTACCATTTTAAAAGTTAGGTACCATTTTAAAAGTTAGGTACCATTTTAAAAGTTAGGTACCATTTTAAAAGTTAGGTACCATTTTTAAAAGATAGGTACCATTTTAAAAGTTAGGTACCATTTTTAAAAGTTAGGTACCATTTTAAAAGTTAGGTACCATTTTTAAAAGTTGGGAACCATTTTAAAAGTTAGGTACCATTTTAAAAGTTAGGTGCCATTTTAAAAGTTAGGTACCATTTTAAAAGTTAGGTACCATTTTAAAAGTTAGGTACAATTTTAAAAGTTAGGTACCATTTTAAAAGTTAGGTACCATTTTAAAAGTTAGGTACCATTTTAAAATTTAGGTACCATTTTAAAAGTTAGGTACCATTTTAAAAGTTAGGTACCATTTTAAAAGTTAGGTACCATTTTAAAAGTTAGGTACCATTTTAAAAGTTAGGTACCATTTTAAAAGTTAGGTACCATTTTTAAAAGTTAGGTACCATTTTTAAAAGTTAGGTACCATTTTTAAAAGTTAGGTACCATTTTTAAAAGTTAGGTACCATTTTAAAAGTTAGGTACCATTTTAAAAGTTAGGTACCATTTTAAAAGTTAGGTACCATTTTAAAAGTTAGGTACCATTTTTAAAAGTTAGGTACCATTTTAAAAGATAGGTACCATTTTAAAAGATAGGTACCATTTTAAAAGTTAGGTACCATTTTAAAAGTTAGGTACCATTTTTAAAAGTTAGGTACCATTTTAAAAGTTGGGAACCATTTTAAAAGTTGGGAACCATTTTAAAAGTTGGGAACCATTTTAAAAGTTGGGAACCATTTTAAAAGTTAGGTACCATTTTAAAAGTTAGGTACCATTTTAAAAATTAGGTACCATTTTAAAAGTTAGGTACCATTTTAAAAGTTAGGTACCGTTTTAAAAGTTAGGTACCGTTTTAAAAGTTAGGTACCGTTTTAAAAGTTAGGTACCATTTTAAAAGTTAGGTACCATTTTAAAAGTTAGATACCATTTTAAAAGTTAGGTACCATTTTAAAAGTTACGTACCATTTTAAAAGTAAGGTACCATTTTTAAAGTTAGGTACCATTTTAAAAGTTAGGTACCAT